CCCTGCTTGAACTGAGCCCTCATGATTGAAGGCGAGATTCCACTTGAGACTGGCACACTGAGCCTCGCCTGGCAGAGCTGGCTCCGGGCAGATGCAGGACTTGTGACTTTATACTTGCATCCTTGTGCAAGACAACCTGAAGGTAACTTCGAGCCAAGTTAAACTAAAATTAAAGCAGGAGAAAGATTAAGGAGACCTGGGAGGTCTCAAATGACATTTAAAAAATCATCCTGATCATTGTCATCAATCTCAAAATCTAGAATGCTATTTACAGAGACATGTGCCAGGTCCTGGGGACTCTAAAGGCACTGGCAACCTGATCTGGACTTCCAAGCAGCTCGCCGTGCAGGCAAGAGGCCAGGCCGAGTTTGCTGCAGCTGGCAACCAGGGAACACTGCTCAGAGAAGGTGGCGTTTGTGCTGGTAGCCAGGGGAAGAGAGAACGCCCATTGATGGAATATCTGCCTGTCCTAGGCACTGCGTCAGAGGCTCCTGCCAGCTTCAAAACTGCTTTAAGAGAAAGGGATTACCATGGGGAAACTGAGGCTCAAAGAGGGAAGGTGACCTGCTCACTGTCACACAGCCTATTGAGTTAGATCTTGGGTCCACTCTGAATCTTGAGAACCCCAATCTGAGTCTTCCAGCATTATAGATAGGGTTTCCCCAAGGCACTGAGTGATGCCAGGGAGGGGACCCCAACCCCAGAGAAACCACAGCCCCTCAGTGCTGCTCAGAGTGCACTAGTACTCTCCCATGTGCTTTTAATTATCCACCTTTTCCAGAAGAGAAAACTGGCTTGGAGAGGCGAAGCCACCTTCTTAGGGTGGAGGAGCAGAGCTGGGGCTCCTGCCCAGGTCTGTGGGCTCCAGGGGGTCAGAGCAAACTAGGAATTCCAGGAAGGCTTCAGAGAGAAGGACCAGATGTGGCTGAGAAGGTGGCAGAGGAAAAGGCCTAGGCAGAGGTACAGCAGTGGGGCCAGGCCAGTTCTGTGTGTCTGGGTTAGCAAAGAATTAGATGTCCACTGCACCTTCCTATGCTGTCGTTCTGAGCCCTTCAGAGCTACCAACCGCTTTCCTCTTCACAGCCCTGTCAGGTCGGTGCTGTTTTTGAACCCATTTTACAGAAAGGAAAGCTGAGGCAGGTTACTGTTCAGCCTCTCTGTTCTTTACTTTCTAGGCATCTCTCTTCTTGCCCATTCTGCAGACAGCCCAGTAACCCTCGCAGGATTTCTGTGTAGTTCCAGGTGAGCATGGACGGCTGGGGCGCGCATCTTCATCCCTCAAGGCATTGAGTGCTGGCTCAGAACCTCCCAGCCTCACTGTTGGAGTTTGTCCTACAGCTGTCCTTTCCTCCCTTCTCCTCACCTGGTGGCCCCAGACAGGGAACTCAGCCCTGCAGCAGCCGTCTGTGGCTCTCCCTGCCCAGGTTCTCTCCTTCTGGGAGGAAAGTCCCCCTACCACATCCCTTTGGGGGAGAATCCTTTCCTTCTCTTCACCCCTGTAGTCTGGGTGGGGCAGACTCTGCCCCGTCACTATAGCAGTTGGTTTAGGGATAGTCATGTGACCAGGCTGGGCCAATGAGAACCTTCCCTGAGACTTTTTATGGAACCACTTGGGCCAGATCTCTTTTTGCAGAGTTGCTGTGCTGGTGGGATGTGCCTGAACCTGCCTGAGAGACAACCCAGCCTAGAGGAAAGCAGCACCAAGATATGGAAGGACTGATGGTGTTGGTTAAGCTCCTGAATCGAGCCATGCCTGAGGTCCACCCTAGACATTTTAGTTACAAGACCCCATCTCAAAAAAAAAAAATGATAAAATTCTTTTTTTTTTGAGATGGAGTCTTGCTCTGTCACCCAGGCCAGAGTTCAGTGGTGTGATCTCGGCTTACTGAAGCCTCCGCCTCTTCCCTGGTTTAAGTGATCCTGGTGCCTCAGCCTCCCAAGTAGCTGGGATTACAGGCATGTACCACCATGCCCCATTAAGTTTTGTGTTTTTAGTACAGATGGGATTTAACCATGATGGCCAGGCTGGTCTCGAACTCCTGACCTCAGGTGATCCACCCACCTGGCCTCTCAAAGTGCTGGGACAGGTGTGAGCCACCACGCCTGGCGCAGAATGATAAAATTCTAAAAGTTGGGTTTCCATCTCTGGCTGCCCAGCTCTCTGTTCTTCCTCTTCCCCATCGCCTAGCCTGGATTATTTCTGGGTGCACAGGACTTTGTTAAGATTTGAGGAGAACAGAGCTCACACATGCTCCGCCTTTTTTTTGTTTTTGAGATTCTCCAACTTTCCTGTTTTCCACTCCCTTCCTCTCAGCCTCTCCGGGAAACTCTGCTTCCCAGACTTTCCTATCCAGGCCCCTCCCAAGCTTGGCTCCCCTCACACTTTCAAAGACTTGCTCCAGTGTCCTGCTGAGGAGACGACCCTATTCTTTCCACATGTCCTGGCCTCACAGAGGAACTGGCCTCGGGCCTTGTCCACCTTTCCTTCCCTTTGTGAGCAGGCTCAGGGAACCAGAAGGTCTCAGTTCCAATGGCAGCCCCTCCCTTCACTGGCTGTGTGACCTCAAACATGTCACTTACCCTCTGTGACCTGGTCTGTACAATGGGAATGCAGCAGCTGATGCCTTTTTCTTAGGGTTTCCACGAGACCAAATTGAGTGCATTTGTGGCTAACACTCAGAAGAACCATGCCTGTCTTGCTCTATTTGTTCTATTAGAGGAGGGTGATGTAGGGATTCATGCTCCCACTGAAATGAGTTATGTCGCCTCCCTTAGGAAGCAGACGCAGTTACCAATGTGTTTGAAAGTAACCCTTTCCCTACTTCCAGCACATCAGGAGGACTTTGGGGGAAAAAAAAATCTCTTCCTCAAATAGAAAGGAGAGCTCTGGGAGGAAACGGGGGTGTGGCCATGCTGGGGAACCCATCAGCATGTGGGGGGAGGAGGAGGGGCTCTGGATCGATTCCGGGGGTGGGAATCCAGAGCTATTGCTGGTTTGGAGCTGGGTGAGGGGGAGCTTCAAGAGTCTGGCCTCAGGGGGTGTGCAATGGGGCACATTCTTGCTGTGTTTTAAGTGCCCCTCCAAGTCCCATGCCAGCCCTGGGCAGTCAAGAGGCAGCTTCCCCTGCATGAGCTGAGCTGCTTAACAGCTGATGTGGAGATGAAAAAGAACCCAATCAAGCTAACAGCCCTTCCTGGCCGCCCTGCAATGACGGTGCTTTGTGCTGAGCCGGGGAAAATATTGGCCGTTTAAGCATTCACACTCTCTGGGGAGCAGCTGCAGAGGAGGGGCGGTTGCCCAGGCAAACTTGAGAGAACTGGAGTCGCTGCGGGCTTCTGGGGAGTTGGGAGGGGGGATTGTCACAGGCAACCTCGACGTCCCTCTATCTCCAGAGTAACCCCATGCTCACACTCAGGAAGGCGATGCGCCCTTGATGTTGGGTGGTCTCACTGCACCATGCACAGATGAGGAAACCGGGGCTCATAACAGGGAGGTGACTTCACTGAGATCATATGGCTGGGAAGTCCTCAGCACAGGCAGGTCTGCCTGACTCCCAGTCCTGTGCCATTTCGGTTCTGCAGGTGGCCTCCCAGAGCTGCCAGGCACAGGATGGAGGAGGTGGGGGTGGGGCTGGAGAAGCCAGTTTGAAAGCAAAGCAGAGAAGGTTGAATCTGGGGGCTCTGAATGTGAGACTTAGGGAGGGGACCTGGATACAGGTAGCTGGAGGAGTGGGTGTGTGCTGTGGTAGGGAGGCTGACAGTGGGGGTGTTGGGGAGAGACAGAAAGAGACAGGAGAGATAGAGAGACAGAGCAGAGGAGACAGGAAGAGACAGGAGAGAGAAAGACAGACAGACAGATACACACACACAGAGACAGAGTTATGAACCTTTTCTGTGGTTCTTCGGGGTTGCCTAATGTCCTAGACCACTTCCACAGCTGCTAAACCCACGCACTCATTCCTCCATTCATGCATTCATTTAACATAGACGTGTCTTCAATTGAGCACCTACTGCATATGGGCACGACGCTAAACTCCAGGAACCTAGCAGACGACAAGACAGGCAACAGTCTGGAATGTACATTTAAGTGAGGGGTAGGGAGACCAACAGAGACATCAATTATAAAGGAGAGAAAAATGGCAGTAAGGCGGGCGGGGACAGGATACAAGTCACTGGCAGGGCAGGGAGGGACCACTGTTTATAAGATGATCTTGGAAGGCTTCTCAGAGGAGGTAAAGTTTGAGCTGGGACTCGTGTGTCAGGAAAAAGCCAAGGGCTGTGCCCTGCAGGCTGGGACTGGGCAAGCCGACCTCTGAAGCCCTCCAGATGGAGGGAGAAATACTGAATGGGAGCCTTCAGATGACTGCAACCCCAGCTGACCTTTCCACTGCTGGAGACTTCATGGGAGACCCTGTGCCAGAACCTCCCAGTAAGTGCCTCCTGCCACCCCCGACCCCCGAAGTTGCAGACCCACAGAAGCTGAGAAAATACATAACTGTTCCCAGAGGCTAAGTGTAGGGGCATTTTGTTATGCAGCAACAGCTGACTCACACAAGGGCCTTCTTGGATGGAGAGCTGCTTTTTGAGGGTGAGAAAAAGCATTCCTAGATTCTTGACAGCAGTTGGTCAAACTGTGTCACATGACCGTGACCAGACCAATCTCTGGTTAGGGGCGTGATCATCTTGGACCAATCAGGACCCTGCCCTGGGGGTAGGTGTGGCTCCCGGGAATCACGGAGGGTGCTAGATGCTGGACCCCAGCCAGGAAAGAGCAGCCCAGATATTAACTCCTGGCCTCCAGTGAATGTCCAAGCTGCCATTTATTGAGCACTGACTGTATGCCTGGGTCTTCACCCACACCAAGCTCTGGCTCCACAGTTTTCCCACCAGCAGCCCCTTTCCCTCCCCTAGCCTCTGCACCCGCCCATCCTGCCACACCAGTGCTGTTTCTGTCCCAGCTGCCAGTTAGACTCCCACACTTCCTTCAAGGAAAGCCTCACCTTGGAGTCTGTCTCCACTTCCTGTAAGGAGCCTTCCAAGATCCCCCACGCGGACTCATCAGACAAGGATAGGGAGTGATGTCATCATGACTATCACGACTGCATTCGTTTCACTGCCATGGAGCTGGGGCGCCCCAGACGGGCAGTTTTCTAGCTATGTGACCTTGGGCAAGTTACTTGACCTCTCTGTGCCTCGCTGCCCCTGTCTGTAAAATGGAGATCATATTAGTATTTCCGTTGTTGGGTCATTATTCAAGTTAAATGTCAGTACATGCGAAGTGCCCGGGACCTCGTCCAGCTCAGGGGAAGAACTAGATAAGAGTTGGCTGGTGTCCTTCCCCTCCCTATTCTCCCAGTCCCCATCAGGGCTGAAGGCTGACCCAGGTCCAATTGTCCTGGTTTGTAGACGGCCCACTTTGGACTCACGTATGCACCCAGCATGTACCCAGGGGCACCGCGGAGCCCTGGCAAACTCCGCAAGACAAACGGTCCCACTCCAGGATCACCTGGCGAATTTTCTCACGAATCAAACCAGGAGCTAAAAGTGTCTGTCCCTTTCCTCCACCTGCAAACCAGTCAGTCTCCCCTTGCTCTACGGAGGGCACAAGGCTGCATGGAATTCTTTTATAAGAATGGAAGAGGCATTCCGGAATCCAGGGCTAATATGATTACTCTGAAAGCATTTCTCCCCTGTTCGAAGTTAACTCGCTCCTGATGATGAGTAACTCTGCCGTGCCTGGCCCTCCAGCGCGAGGTGCAGGGAGGATTCTCCTGAGCAGCGTTTTTCTTCCTCCTGCTGGGGTCCTGGTGTTCTCCGAGCCTCTCAGTGGCAGCCAGCGTGCCCGCAGCGCAGGTTTGGTGATTGCAGAAGGCGAGCACTGGGAGGCATCTTGAGGCTGCCTGAACGCTGTCCTGGGGAAGGAAGCCGCTGCCGTCTGCTGACCTCCTGGGCGCCTCTTCAGAGCTTTCGAAAACAAAGGCCAAAGCGAAAAGACAATACGCCCTTCATCAGGAACCCCAGGAAGATGCTGGAATGTTTTGGCTCATTTAAGCTGGATAAGACCCAAATCCTGGAGGCTGCTCTGCAGATTCCGACGCTCAGAACAATATTCTGGTTTTCACCGGCTGAGTCACTCTTGGGAGACAGAGCCGTGTTGTGAGCAGTTTCATTTTGACTTTGTGACAACTCCTGCCCTCCTTATTCCCTTTATGCCAGCTCCCCAAAAGCATCCGCTCCCTGAAGTGGAGAGAGGTCTGGCTTCTCCTCTGCTGGGGGAGATGGGGGAACTCGGAGCAGGGCTTGCTTTGGAGACTGGAGCAAACTGTGGTGTGCAGAGGGTTGCTTTGTGAATTACCTGGCACCATTGTTCAGGGAATGAGCCACAGTGCTTTGAAGGTTTGATACTCTGGAGTCCTTGGACATGAAGATGGCCAAGAAAAAGGAGTGTTTTGCCTTCACAGCCTCGTTGGAGCTGGGACCATTCTGGACACAGTACTGGGGCTGCATTCATTTCCTCTACCACCACCATCTCAGACTTGGCCTGACAGGGCACTTCAGACCTCCTGCCCAACCCGCCCCAGTCTGACTGGTTTTCCCAAGAGTGCTCACTGCATCCCATACAGACTGTAGCGTACTTTCAAATAAATGATGTCCAGAGAAGGTAAGATGATCAGATTGAACCGTTTGACTCCAACAATTAGAATGGCTCTGTGCTGTGTGGCAGAGGCTAGGAAACAGGCATTAAAAAGGATGAGGTGACTGGCCGGGCGCAGTGGCTCACGCCTGTAATCCCAGCACTGTGAGAGACTGAGAAGGGTGGATCACTTGAGGTCAGGAGTTCGAGACCAGCCTGGCCAACATGGGGAAACCCTGTCTCTACTAAAAATACAAAAATTAGCTGGGTGTGGTGGTGTGTGCCTGTAATCCTAGCTACTTGGGAGGCTGAGGCAGGAGAATCACTTGAACCCAGGAGGCAGAGGTTGCAGTGAGCTGAGATCGTGCCATTGCACTCCAGCCTGGTGACAAAGCAAGACTCCATCTCAAAAAAAAAAAAAGAATGAGGTGACCTATGCCTGTCTGCCATGAAATGATGTCCCAGACATGTTAAATGAAAAAAGCGAGTCACAGAACAATACGCAGAAAATGGTACAAACGGCCACACAAAAACGTAAAAATGAAATCAAGAAATCTACAAAGAGGCGAGATATGGCTCAGTAGCCTTCGACCACTTCGATCAAAGCCACAGTGGGCTTGACCTCCCTCTACCATGTGCTGGCCCCGGCCATCTCTGAGCCTCAGTTTCCCTGTCTGTGGAATGGGGATAATAGTAAAAGCCTTGGAGGGTTGCTGTGGCCCCTGCAGTTAGGGAAGCACCAGAGTCCAGCCTTGTTGACTCTGATTACCATCTGTGTAACCGGGACAGCCTTGGGGGAGAGGATCTCTTTCCAAAGGAGGTTTCGGAATTTCTCACAACCAGTGCATGTGGATTACATGTGTCCATTTTTAACAAGGAAAATGAAGGATGCTGTTTCTAAAGGGAAAATATGCAGAACGTTTCTAAGACCCTTGAACCCTCACCCCTCCCGCGGGGGCCGGCTTGCAGTTAAGGAGTCCATGCAGGTGGGCAGCTCAGCCCCGCGGCCAGGGCTGTGGGCAGAGGCAGCTGCCTGGCGGGGGCTGGAAGGGCGCCTGGACATTTATCGAGGCTGGAGTGGGGAGGAATGCCGCCCCTGACCCCCGAGGCCCCGCTCATGTTACCTGGCGGCTTTGGGACAGAAGTTCCACAGAGAAGCAGGCTCCTTCCTGTCCAACGTGATGAGCAGAGATTAAGCGCTCTGTTGACACACAAAGAAACAGCCCCATCTGGAAAATTCCACGGCAGGGAGAGGCTTGCCAGGCCTTAATACAGGGGCCTGGAGGCTCCTGAGTGTTTACTAAGAGCTCAGCCGGATGGTAGTGAGGAGGGGACTCTCTCGGCCTAGTAGCACGTTTTTACTGCGCACCTACTACGTGCCCAGTACCGTTCCAGGCACTCAGGGCATGCCAGGTAGAGAAAATAAATGAATGTAGTGAGTTCCACGTAGATGATAAAATTCTTTGATTGGATAGAAAGTGAGGGGGTGAAGGAGTGTGGTTTACCTCTGAAGAGGTGACATCATCTGCACAGAAATCTAAATCAAGTAAGAGAACCAGCCACGGACGTGTCTGCAGGGAGGAGCTTTCCAGCAGAGGGTGTGGCAGATGCAAAGGCCCTGGGGCCATAGTGGGCTTGGCACAGAAATGGAAACTAGAGGTTCAGGAGGAGGACAGTGGGAATGAGGCTGGGAAGGAGGGCGGGCTAGAACATGCTGGGCCTTGTCAGTCGCTGTACAGATCTGGATGCAGGTGTTGACTTCCTCCTACACTCAGCACACCAGTTTTAAGCACCCGTTACATGCAAGCAAAGAAGCTCAGGGTGCATTTGCTGGGTGCTTTCAGTTTCACGGAGAAGATGGCACTTCTGCAGTAAGTGCAGGGGCTGGGCCCGCTGGCCACTTGGCCATGGCTGGGAGCAGAGGCCCGGAGCCGGCTTTGGACATGAGCACTGGGCTAGCATGAGCAAGGCAGGCCCTCAGCACCAAATGTTGGAAGGCAAGCACTCTCGGTGCCAGGGCAGAGGGGCACCTGGGAGGCCTGACTCGCCTCACCCAGTGCCAGACCTGCTAAGGGCACTCATGGTCCAGCCTGGAAGGCCCCAGGAGCAGCTCTGGCCTGGTAGGAGATGAGGGCTAGAGATGACTTCCCTGATCCAGCCTTGGGCCAGCTATGTTTGTGAAGCTTCCACCGTGCTGCTTCCCAGGAGGCTAGCTCTGGGGGCTTGAGAAGGCAGGGAAGCTGGAGCCGCCCCTCCCCCAGCCCTGTCCTCCCCGAAAGCACAAGCCCGTCTGTCCCAGTTCACCCATGTGTGGTGGTGGTGGGATCGCTCACATGTCACATGTCACAGGTAGGGTTGTGTTTCCTGAAAACACATGTCCAGGTCCTCACCCCTGGTAGCTGTGGATGTGACTTTGTTTGGAAATAGAGTCTTTGCAGATGTGATCGCGCTGCGATGAGGTCATTAGCGTGGACTCTAATCCAAGATGAATGAGCCCTTATAGGAAAAGGGGAGATAGGCAGAAACTACGTGGCGGCAGAGGAGAGGCTGGAGTGCAAAGCCAGGAGTGCCAAGCGTTGCAAGAGCCACCAGGAGCTGGAAGAGGCAGGGGAGAATCCTGCCCAGGCTTCGGAGGGAGCGGGGCCCTGCTGGCACCTGGGTTGCAGGCTTCCGGCCTCCAGACCCGTGGGTTTTGTTTCTGTTGTTTTTTGCCTCGTGAAACACACCAATCTGCGGTTTTAAGCCTCCAAGTTCGTAGTACCTCCTCACAACAGCCCCAGAGGCCAACACGCTGCATTTAGTGAGGGACGGTCCCTGCGGATCCACTTAGGAAGCAGGTTCTGGTTTCATAGGCTGGGGTGGGACTCAAGACCCGGTTCTCACATGGGGCAGATGCTGCTGGTCTGGGGCCACGCTTTGAACAGTGAAGGTTTGCAGGACGACTGGTAGCAGCCGCCACCCCCTCCCCTCCGGGGCTCACAGACTGCCCGGTGTTCCTTCATCCCTCAGGGAACTCGACTCAGTCCACGTCAGGGGTCGTTCCCGGTTTGTCCAGCCAGGGGTCGGCAAACTCTCTCTCTGTAAAAGTGGAGTCATTCTCCCAGGCTTTTTGGGGAGTCCTCAGCTCTGCTATTGTCACACAAAAGCAACCACAGACAATATGAAAAAAGAAGAGTGTGCAGCGTAGGAGGTTGAGGCGGGAGGATTGCTGGAGCCCAGGAGTTCAAGACCAGCCTTAGCAACATAGCAAGATCCTCATCCCTACAACAAACTTAAAGATTAGCCAGGCATGGTTTGTGCCTGTAATCCCAGCTACTAGGGAAGCTAAGGCAGGAGAGTCGCTTGAACACGGCGGGTGGAGGTTGCAGTGAGCCCGGATGGTGTTACTGCACTCCAGCCTGGGTGACAGAGTGAGACTCCATCTCAAAAGAAAAGAATGTGGCTGGCACCAGTAAATCTTTATTTCCAAAAACAGGCTTGGGGCCTGTGAGCCCCTGTTTCCTGATCCTAGGCTAAGCCAGTCACGGCAACCCCATCCCCTTCCTAAGTATTCATGTGGCCTGACCCTCACCAGTGCGGTGTGAAGGGGAGGACACTGGGGAATTGAGAGGGAAGGCTTAACTGCTCTCACCTGTTTATTAACTTTTTTCTGAGATAGGGTCTTCTGAGTAGCTGGGAGTGCAGGTATGTGCCACCATGCCTGGCTAATTTTTGTATTGCTTTTGCTAGAGACAGGTTTCGCCATGTTGCCCAGATTGATTTTGAACTTTTGGGTTCAAACAATCCATCCTCCTTGACCTCCCAAAATGCTGGGATTACAGGCCTGAGCCACCACACCCAGCCTACCTGCTTTTTAAAAACAGAGAACCAGGCAGGGGCTCAGGCCTATAATCCCAGAACTTTGGGAGGCCGAGGTGGGCGGATTGCTTGAGGTCAGGAGCTCGAGACCAGCCTGGGCAACATGGTGAAACCCCATCTCTACTAAGAATATAAAAACTAGTTGGGTGTGGTGGTGCACGTTTATAATCCAAGCTGCTTGGGAGGCTGAGGAGGCAGAGGTTTCTACGAGCCGAGAGCATGCCACTGCCCTCCTGTCAGGGCAACAGAGTGAGACTCCGTCTCAGGATAAAAAAGCAAAAGAGGAAGAGGTGGCTGCCTTGTCTTTGGCTGCACTCTGTCCTGTTGGGATGTGATGACCGTATCTGTCACAGCCATTATGGGGCTACGAGGGGAGTCCCAACGCTGAGGAGTGGCAGAAGAGAGAGGAGGAAGTGGCTGGTGCCGATTTCGGCAATTAGCTGAGGAGTCACCGCTCCCTTTGCTCTGGAACCTCCTGTCTCGGGGAAGAATTCCTGCTCATCGGGAAGACTGTTGGAATTGGGATTTTTCTCTTACTTGCTGCCCAAGGCATCCTGACTGCTACAGCCTGCTCCAGTGCCCCAGGCCCTCAAGCTGCTCACAGCCTCCTGGGCCACCATCTCCTCCAGGCCCTGCACACGGCCACCATGCCCAGGCCACCTGGGACAGTGAAAAGCTGACCTGGGGCCTAGAGATTTGGTTCCCTGCCCCAGGCCCTGTGGCTTTGGCCAAACCACCGGCCTTCTCCGTGCAGAACAAGGGCAGCTCCAGCGGTCAGACAGGTTTGTTGCAGAGGGGACAGGGGACGTCTGCAGGCAGTAGACCCTAAAATAGCAATGGGCAATGCGGGC